GGGGGGGGGCACATGTGGCCCTGTCGTCTAAGGCGCCACAATTCAACATTCATTCAATCTTTACTCAAGCACTTAACTATTAACTTCAACTATTATTTACAAATGTGGTTCTATATAACAGTGTGCGCGGAATATATACATGTCTAAGTTTTGTATTATTAATTTATCTAGACTGTTTAACGATTGTCGGAATTTCACCATATCTGGATCATTAAAGTAGTATACAGGTATATATTTTTTGTCTCACAGTGGAGTACAATGGACATACAAGTACAAAGTGATATCCATCCTCTATATCTTGGCTATTACACATTTTATATATCATTCCGGCCTTGCACTTCTTGTGTATCTCCCACTCTCGATGCATAAATCATGGGATAAACATCGAAATCTTGCCAATGAATTGCGGTATTTCTGTATATTTACATAAAACAGATACTGTTCAGTGTATATATGTTTTCATAATTCTATGATATAAAGATTTATTCAATGATGTAAACGCAAATGACCATGATTGCAGATAAATATCTTTTAGTCTCCGTGGAAAAGAATTGGTAAATACACTTTCAGATTGTACAAATTGATCATACCAAACATTTCAAAAACCACTATTGAATAACATTTTTTCACATCAGTTACCCAAGTAGTCTTTCGCTGTTGCGTCCCTTGGGCACGCCAGAAACCTATGATTGTGGGTTCGAATCCCGGTTCGCCCCGATCATGTTTCTAGATTTGTCAGCACCATACCCGTGCTCGTGGGTTTCACCGAAGAAGTAATCGTCTAAGACCCACATCACTTCGGACCTCCCTCCCCCATTAAGCTGACAGTCCGTGATATTACTGGAATAATGTTAAAAGCGGCGTTAAACACAACTCACTCACTCACTCAAAAAGTGTAATTTCTCAACTGTGAGACAAGTACCCTTAAACAGGTGGGGTTGCAATGAGATCTGGGCGTTGCAAGCCTAAAAACGACATCTGGACAACATCGTCTCTTTATATTCATTACACCACGCAATAGATTCAAATCTGATCCTGTTATTAAAAATTCCGTCTAATAACATAAAGGCGAATTTCAACATCAGCCGTCAAAAACTGGCTCCATGAACCCGTCTGAAAGCAAGGCGTCCTGTGAAGGGTGTGGCCCTAACAGCTGACCATAGGCCGCAAAGATCGGAGTGTTGTATTTGAGGACAAGAACAATATATTATTTTGATATGATGTCAGTTGGTTGTCGATGTCGCTGCCAGACAGTGTGGCTGTTCAGCTGACCAGACCACTGTGGGACGAGGCTGAGCACTAGGACTACTTCCGTTCGAACTGACATAATGCAAGTTACCAGTCACAAAACTGCAAAGTTAGAAACCAAACTATTCCCTAAATGTTCTGAAGTGCACCGAAGGGCAACACTACCTCTGTTGATTCTGCCGTACTGGGGAGGTCGCCGGTAATGATGTTGATACTGCCGTACTGGGGAGGTCGCCGGTAATGATGTTGATACTGCCGTACTAGGGAGGTCGCCGGTAATGATGTTGATACTGCCGTACTGGGGAGGTCGCCGGTAATGATGTTGATTCTGCCGTACTGGGGAGGTCGCCGGTAATGATGTTGATTCTGCCGTACTTGGGAGGTCGCCGGTAATGATGTTGATACTGCCGTACTGGGGAGGTCGCCGGTAATTATGTTGATACTGCCGTACTGGGGAGGTCGCCGGTAATGATCGCTAGCGCCGGACTCCAAATTCACTTGAAGTTTCGCGTTCATGTGCGTGATCTTTAATTACACAGAATTTAAGGCCGCGCGTTATCTTTTCGCTACACAACATCGCAGTGATATTTGATAATACGAACGTATTGTCCGTGAAACAATAAGATGATCATAATGTTCGTGAAACATTTCCCACAGTTGAGTTGCGGCAGTGTGTACTGGCAAATTTCGGGCTTGAAATTCTGTTTTCACCAGCCTTGACTGCAGTGACATTAGCATCAGATGCACTTTGTGACCTCGGATGTTTGAAGCCATACTGGAACTCGCGCCCTGAGACTGGACATGTGTCCACTGTTGCCTTGTTTGGAATGCGTCATCACTCATGTAGTTTCAGATGTCCAGTTATTGTGTCTTACGTCCATCAATAAACTGTTTTGCGTTTATAGGAGTGTAGATATCACCTCGAAGAATACACAGTGTATATTGCTTTAGATGTACACGGTTTATATGTCCTCGAGAAGTACACAGCCATTACATGTAAAGCATGTATTGCGTTGTAAACATCCGCTCCACGTGAGGACAAATGCTAGAGTGGTTCAGTGGGTTCATTCACCGGGGTATAGTGGATGTAGGCATCATCTGTCAGCTCAATACGTGCGTGGTCTCCGCCAAAGTGTCGTGTTCTACTATTTGTGTTACTCCGCATGTGCAGAGTAAGTGCAGAGAGGAGAGTAAGTGTAGTGTAAGTGCAGAGTGGAGAGTAAGTGCAGAGTGCAGAGTAAGTGGAGAGTAAGTGCGGGGTATGTGGAGAGTAAGTGCAGAGTGGAGAGTAAGTGCAGAGTGGAGAGTGCAAAGTAAGTGCAGAGTGCATAGTAAGTGGAGAGTGAGTGCACAGTAAGTGGAGAGTGCAGAGTAAGTGCAGAGTGCATAGTAAGTGGAGAGTGAGTGCAGAGTGGAGAGTAAGTGCAGAGTATGTGGAGAGTAAGTGCAGAGTGGAGAGTAAGTGCGGGGTATGTGGAGAGTAAGTGCAGAGTGGAGAGTGCAAAGTAAGTGCAGAGTGCATAGTAAGTGGAGAGTGAGTGCACAGTAAGTGGAGAGTGCAGAGTAAGTGCAGAGTGCATAGTTAGTGGAGAGTGAGTGCACAGTAAGTGGAGAGTATGTGGAGAGTAAGTACAGAGTGGAGAGTAAGTGCAGAGTGCAGAGTATGTGCAGAGTGCAGAGTAAGTGCAGAGTGCATAGTAAGTGGAGAGTGAGTGCACAGTAAGTGGAGAGTGCAGAGTAAGTGCAGAGTGCATAGTAAGTGGAGAGTGAGTGCAGAGTAAGTGGAGAGTGCAGAGTAAGTGGAGAGTGAGTGCACAGTAAGTGGAGAGTGCAGAGTAAGTGCAGAGTGCATAGTAAGTGGAGAGTAAGTGCAGAGTAAGTGCAGAGTGCATAGTTAGTGGAGAGTGAGTGCACAGTAAGTGGAGAGTGCAGAGTAAGTGCAGAGTGCATAGTAAGTGGAGAGTGAGTGCACAGTAAGTGGAGATTGCAGAGTTAGTACAGAGTGCATAGTAAGTGGATAGTGAGTGCACAGAAAGTGGAGAGTGCAGAGTAAGAACAGAGTGCATAGTAAGTGGAGAGTAAGTGCATTGTGCAGAGTAAGTGCATAGTAAGTGGAGAGTGAGTGCAGAGTAAGTGCAGAGTAAGTGCATAGTAAGTGGAGAGTGAGTGCAGAGTAAGTGGAGAGTGCAAAGTAAGTGCAGAGTGCATAGTAAGTGGAGAGTGAGTGCACAGTAAGTGGAGAGTGCAGAGTAAGTACAGAGTGGAGAGTATGTGGAGAGTAAGTGCAGTGTGCAGAGTAAGTGCATAGTAAGTGGAGAGTAAGTGCAGTGTGCAAAGTAAGTGCATAGTAAGTGGAGAGTGAGTGCAGAGTAAGTGCAGTGTGCAGAGTAAGTACAGAGTGCATAGTAAGTGGAGAGTGAGTGCAGAGTAAGTGCAGTGTGCAGAGTAAGTGCATAGTAAGTGGAGAGTAAGTGGAGTGTAAGTGCAGTGTGCAGAGTAAGTGCATAGTAAGTGGAGAGTAAGTGGACTGTAAGTGCAGTGTGCAGAGTAAGTGCATAGTGAGTGGAGAGTGAATGCATAGTAAGTACAGAGTGCAGAGTAAGTACAGAGTGCATAGTAAGTGGAGAGTATGTGGAGAGTAAGTGCATAGTAAGTGGAGAGTAAGTGCAGTGTGCAGAGTAAGTGCATAGTGAGTGGAGAGTGAGTGCACAGTAAGTGGAGAGTGCAAAGTAAGTGCAGAGTGCATAGTAAGTGGAGAGTGAGTGCACAGTAAGTGGAGAGTGCAAAGTAAGTGCAGAGTGCATAGTAAGTGGAGAATGAGTGCAGAGTAAGTGCAGAGTGCATAGTAAGTGGAGAGTGAGTGCACAGTAAGTGGAGAGTGCAGAGTAAGTGCAGAGTGCATAGTAAGTGGAGAGTGAGTGCACAGTAAGTGGAGAGTGCAGAGTAAGTGCAGAGTGGAGAGTATGTGTAGAGTAAGTGCACAGTAAATGGAGAGTGCAGAGTAAGTGCAGAGTGCATAGTAAGTGGAGAATGAGTGCAGAGTAAGTGGAGAGTGCAGAGTAAGTGCAGAGTGCATAGTAAGTGGAGAGTGAGTGCACAGTAAGTGCAGAGTGAGTGCAGAGTGCATAGTAAGTGGAGAGTAAGTGGAGAGTATGTGGAGAGTAAGTGCAGTGTGCAGAGTAAGTGCATAGTTAGTGGAGAGTGAGTGCAGAGTAATTGCAGAGTAAGTGCATAGTAAGTGGAGATTGCAGAGTACGTGCAGAGTAAGTGAAGAGTGCAGAGTAAGTGCAGAGTGCATAGTAAATGGAGAGAGAGTGCAGAGTAAGTGCATAGTAAGTGGAGACTGCAGAGTACGTGCAGAGTAAGTGAAGAGTGCAGAGTAAGTGCAGAGTGCATAGTAAGTGGAGAGTGAGTGCAGAGTAAGTGCATAGTAAGTGGAGACTGCAGAGTACGTGCAGAGTAAGTGATGAGTGCAGAGTAAGTGCAGAGTGCATAGTAAGTGGAGAGTGAGTGCAGAGTAAGTGCATAGTAAGTGGAGACTGCAGAGTACGTGCAGAGTAAGTGCAGAGTGAGTGGAGTGTAAGTGCAGAGTGGAGAGTAAGTGCAGAGTGCAGAGTAAGTGCAGAGAGCTGGTATGGTGAAGTTGGACATTGTTACAAAAACAAATCACTCACTTTTCAAGAGTGAGGTGACAGAAAGCACCGATTATTGCAGAAATATGAAGAACGGGGCTAACAGCATATTGACACGCGGGTTTCTGCGTATAAAAACACGTGACAGTATCGCCCAACATTCCTCTGAAGTGTCGCCCTGATTCACGACTCTGCGGTGGCGTTGTCCTGACAAGGGGTGCAACTCTAGCTAACATGGAGCGGCAACATATAGCGTCTAAGTTCCCACTCAAGGTAATCAAACTATCCATGAAGTATTCGTCTCACACCACAATGTATGTCATTTACTGTCGTTTTCATGTCATCTAAAGTGAAGTCACTTTAGACCTCAAAATATGCGAAGCGATTTACAAAGCCTATTCACTCATAAGCCGGTAAATTTCCGCGAGTGAGGTCACAGAGGCTGCCTAGGACAATTAGAGAAGAACTGGGACATGGGCTCGTACTCTCATGTCCTGCATGTACATTACAACCGTGTCTGTTCTCCCTGGCTGTTGTAACAGGCCACGTAGCCTGTACACGTAATCTCCTATCGAGTCAATCACAGGCCATGTAGCCTGTACACGTAATCTCCTATCGAGTCAATCACAGACACGTCTAAAGCAAGCTGACCCATGCAAGCTAAATGAAGATATCTTATCAAAGTCCACGAAGTCAATAATACATCACCATGCGCCATTTGTCTCATATTTCACATTAGACTTTACAACATGCCAGATGAATGTATCGAGAAATAATTTGAGTACAGACGTGTTATTTGTCTGTTATGTTATTTTGAAGACATACAATCACCTATTTATATTTAGTGTCATGTTTTATGCGTGTCCACGTTTAGTGTGTTTCAATGAGAGAGGTCATGAGCCTCAAAGGCCGCTGTCTTGCAGGGCCGATAGCCAGCGAGAACCATGTTTAGTGTTGACCTCTGGAACAGCGTAACAGTATGTGTGCTTTCTTCACTGCCACTGTGTTCTATTTATAACTTCTATAATCTGTATTTCCCCCGTGGCTATTTTTAGACCTATTGCAGCGCGTATAGCGGTTGATTTGTTTCACTCATTAATGATAAATTAAAGTAGAAAAGGATTTAAAACCCTTATCACACAAGCATTTCAAGTACAAGCCTCAGGGTAAACACAGTTTTTAACCCATGATTTTACATCTTTATGAATATTAAACAACAGTTTTCTCAATTAATTACTTATATTATGATGACGAAATAGTGACCAGATTTTGTTTTACACATAGATTCGAACGCATTTGAAAAATCTATAAATAGTCCTTACTTGCCTTCTTTTGTTTGAACGTATTGGTCTGTATTAGTCTGTATAAACATAGTATCAATACTTACCATTTCTAAATCCAACTTGCTCTTCGACAATTGTCTCAAAATATTCTAAACAAAATGTCAAACGTTTATAAATATTTGAACACACCTAGTAATACAGGTGATTGTTTCAGGTTTGTGTGGGATTATGATAAGAACGATCGATTGCAAGATGCTTTTTACCACGATAGTGTGCAGGAATTACTTCACAGATCAATGGAAGTGGCATTAACTGATATCAGTGAAGTGTGCAATGTTTGCTTGAAGCATTGTGTAACGCTGGTATGTCTAGAGAAGGGAGGTTGGTCGAAGTATGGCAGATAGGAAATGGTTGGATATTGACTGTGAATTCCTCAGAAGGGAAGATGTAGGTGCTTGAATAGATTCAGAAAAAAAGTAAAGTTGCAGTATCCTCATCAATTTACACCCAGGCTAGACATAAGTATAATAGTACGTGCAGGAGTAAAACAAGGCAATACAAGGCGATTCCGCGAGATGACTAGAAAGCAGCATTAATTATCCAAAACAGTTCTGGTCTACTCTAAAACTTGGATGGCAAAAGACAGGTTAATAATAATAATAATATAAACATAGATACCTGGTATAAACATTTCAGAGACTTAGAGGAGGCTAGTTTAGTAGCTGATGTATTAGATTTTCCTACTTCAAGAGAAGAAATCACTTCAAGTATACACAAATTGAAAAAAGAAAAATCTCATGGTATTGATAACGTAATACCCAAGTTTTTGAAGAGTTCATCAGATATAATTGTCCCATATTTAGAAGTTTTGTTTATTGCTGTTTTTGAAAATTCCAATTTTCCCAAAGATTGGCCAGTGGGCATTATCATTCCTCTTCACAAACAAGGTAATGTAAATGATACCAACAACTACAGAGGCCTCCATTATTAAGCATACTTAGTAATATATTCTTAGATATCAATAATAGACGATAAGTATTTGGGGCTGAACAAGAAAATAGATGAGGCACGCACAAGCTGGTTTTCTTTATTAACGATCTGGCAGAAGAAATACAAAAATAATTGCAAAGGTGGTATACAGCTACACCTAGATATTGTAAAAATATGTTTGCTTCTGTTTGCCGATGATGTCGTAATGATTTCGAGTACTGTACCCGGACTTCAAAGTCAGATAAATGTGCTTGAGCAATTTTGTGAACAATTTGATTTAAGCGTTAACACAAGAAAGACCGAAGTTATTGTTATTGTATATAGAAACGGCGGTATGTTATCAAAACGGGAGAAACGGTTTTACAAAGACGTGGTTGCAAGCTATAAGTATTTGGGAGTACATCTTTCATTAAAATGATCTTAGTATCTTCATTCAATACAGGCTTCAACACAAGCAAAGACAATTCTCAATATGTGTCATAAACGTCTCAGATCTATTGAGAGTGTAAATATTAATCATTCTTTTTTAAATTTTGGATGCAAAAATAAAAGCCAATTCTATTATATGGGGGTACCGGTGAGGTTTGGAGTGTTCATCAGTTAGCTTTGATTGAAAGGGTGCATGTATATGCATGAAAAAGATATCTCGTAGTAAAGATAAACACCCCCAATATGGTGAATGTGGTAGGTTTCCACTATATATAATTGCACAAATAAAAGTCATAAAGTATTGGTTGAGGCTATTTAGGATGCCAAATGATAGATACCAAATGAAGAGTTATGAAATGACGGTATTGTATGACAAAAATGGAAAGCAAAACTTGGTTTCGTCAGTTCAAAAGCTCATCAATGATTTAGGCTTAGTCTATGCTTGGCAAAGTCAAAATGTAGATTGTTCTGAAGATACAAAGCGGTATTTTTTGTTAGTGAAACAGAGTTAGTTTTTACACTAAAACTGATCAAAACCTAGAATGCTTTCGGGGGGAATTAGCCACGGGATCAACACACCTTCAAAGACAAACAGAGAGAGGTTCTCAGGCAAAGCAGGAATTCTTTATTAAATGTTTTCATCATCATCAAGCATATAGACATAGTCGGACAATCTCCTTCATCATCAAACACAAAGACATAATCAGACAAATAATTAAGCAGTGATACCAAAACTGTTAAGATATTCTTTGTTATATAATATGCATGAGTTAATAAACAGTTGCTTGTTATGTGATCTCACTTTGAGAACAATGCATTAACTTCAGAGACGTATCAGTACCCATTCAAGTTACAGCCTAATATAACATTGCATAAGATTACGTAACACATTTATAATTAAAATACCATTTGTAAAATAATAACAAAGTGTAAAGTGTAAGCTCAACTCATTGGATATTCATTTACATCATAGCAGTGAACATTTGATATAATGCAGACATTATAATCAATTCAAATTAAATTACTCATTGATAATTACTCATAATGTTTGATATATATATTTAAGGTACTCATAAATAACATCTGAACAATGTTTACAAAAAGCAATCATATGAAAGATTATAACAACACCTTTCTTGAACAATGACATGTCTAATGACTTATTTTACATTAAATACGGTAATGTGACGTCATGAACTATAGCTGATTCAGGTGTACACTCCAGAGTTAAATAGTGAACACAAGATTTAATACGGTAAATAATAATGGGACCTGCATTCAATGACTGAATACATTATACTAAATTCAGATAACAGCTATGCGCAAAAATGATTAAATACGGTACGTGACGTCACTGCCGAGCGCTGGTGAGTGTGCCGTTATATAACAATGAGCGGTGCCGCCTGTGCATGCCGCGCTATGCGGGCCGAGCTTATACAAATCACACATGAATGAACACCGTATTTGAAACTTGAAATATACATGAATTAAAACTGATTATTAGTGAACGTATATTCTATTGTGAATGTTTATGAACCTTATTGGAGATTTCGCCAAACAGAGAAATTGCTTGTGAACTGTAATTTAGAAATGGATATAAACACTGCTATAGGAAAGCCTGTTTCATTATAACTATTCTACAACATAAAACTACTACGTTATCTGTAGCGTCCAAATTATGCTAAAAGTATAGCATCTGAGATATTCTATACAGCGTCCATTCATCTTACCGAATGGAAGTAATATGCATAAATTGGAAAACATAAATTTATCAGGCATTGCTTAATTTGTGTGCATTTATCTAGAACAGAAGTTACGTTCGAGTATTGTGGTCTAGTGCTATGCCCTCACAAAGTAGTTACCTAATAAGAAATATTTTGGGCTACAGATAAGAATAATATACTTTGCTGTACTTGCACTGATCTGGTTTTGTATATAAAGAATATATTTGATGCATGAACATGGGATATAAGTTATATTCTTGAACCGTATTTATCAGGCATAAGAACGCAAACAAATATACATAACGTAAATTATATCGAGTAACTGGATCATGTTAATGCATATTGACGCATTTAACGTTGTTGCATTATAAAACCACTCTACTAACGATACAGCATACAATAAGGTAAATAACCCGACACACATATGAATAGTGGTCCTACCGATACATGGACAAATAATTCATACATTATTATAATGCACGCTGTTCACATTAAAACATGATAATTATGAAGCATCCACGACACCTGTGATTACTAATTACAAATGTATTTGCCTAGTAGTTTTAACCCGATAAGTAAACATGTGGGATACGAACGCTGATTGTGGAATAGTAATATTTCTACATGCGACGCACGCATATAAAGTACTGTAGTTAATTTGTGTCAGTAAAACTTGAATAATATGCAGCTTAGATTCGCACGGCATTTCGAATACATAGAGTATAAGTTCATTGTTCAAGCAAGATATTCATACAAAATTAAAGACAATTTTAAAAGACAATTTTAAGCAAAGTTCAACCTAAATGCCAAAGTAACAAGTAAAAGTGACTTACCTTCAAAGACAAACAGAGAGAGGTTCTCAGGCAAAGCAGGAATGACTAACAGTCAATTTCCCCCTATATTTATACCTGAGACCTCCTTTGTTAATCTGAAGGCAAGTCTACACGAGCGTGTCCAGTTTGAAATTTGAGACTTTGGACTAATAAAGACTGGACATGTTATACAATTTTGTATGATGGGTTTGGTCTGTTAATAGCCAAAGCCCACGGTCAGTTTGGAAAGTTGCGTAATAGAAGATTATAAATGCCGATAGAATCACTCAGCTCGTGTTTGGTTTCGCGTTTTCAATTTTCTAGTTTGGTCAGTTGACGCTAAATAGCTGATAACGGTACACTGGTAAGTGCCGAACGCGCTGACCACTACTAGTTGTTATTCAACATGTAATTAAAGTCTCGCCGGCCGACCTGATTGTGGCGGCGTAAATCTGAAGTGCCAGATGTTGTTATGCAATTTCTTATCGCTAGTATGTACCAACAGGTCTTAAATGGTTAACCGACAACTTATGAATTGAAGGCGAATTTCACAAAAAGTTGAATAAAATATAGCAATTTTAGCACTGTTACATTAGCATTATCGTCGAAAAGTCAAGACTTTAGTTTGTTTAAAACACATTTTATAACTACAGAATATCTTTTGAAACCACTCTTGTACAAATATAGAATTGCATTTTCTAGATTCAGGCGCTCATCACATGAATTAAATATTGAAACAGGAAGATATTCCAAAATAAAAAAACATTAGGTTATGTAAAATGTGTAACCTACAGCTAATAGAGGCTTACTAGGAAGGGAATACTCATCAACGCAGAATGGAATCTGTTTCGGCGCATAACCTAGACTTACTAGGAAGGGAATACTCATCAACGCAGAATGGAATCTGTTCGGCGCATAACCTAGACTTCTTATTCTCCTGGATTAACAACTTTTATTGACACCAGAAGAAAGGACGATGCTGACATTTGGACCTAAATGCGTTTAGGTAGAACATACCAAATGTAAAGGCTGCAATTGAAAAGGGCTTTGAATTTTCTTTGTGTGCAATGAACTACTTCTGCGATGTCAGACGTGCTACGGTTCTATTTCTGCTGTTTCAGGTGGAGCTGCACGTGCACATGGATGGTGCGGCCAGACACCAGACAATCGTGGACGTTGCGGCGTCCCGGGGACTCATCCCCCACTGCCACACCGTCCAGACCCTGAAACAGCAGATCGTTATTTCAAAACCCTCAACCCTCGACCGCCTCCTGCAAAGCTTTGCCACCTTCTCGCCAGTGTTTGCGTAAGATAACCTCAATACCAAGGTTAAGGTCAGCTTGACCATTGACCCTCATTGCGAAGTACAGGACGAAAACTCCTAAGATTGACCTTAGTTTTGTTGTATCGTAGTCCTGTTAATGTTGAACTTGTTGGTTTTCACTTGTGTTACACTGACACAATACCCAGATACTTTGCGACATATACCCAGATACAATACCCTCATACCCTGGGATAAATACCAAGATACACTGAGACATATACCCACATACATGGAGATAAATACCAAGAAACACTGTGACATATATCCAGATACACTGTGACATATATCCAGATACACTGAGACATATACCCACATACATGGAGATAAATACCAAGATACACTGTGACATATATCCAGTTACACTGTGACATATATCCAGATACACTGAGACATATACCCACATACTTGGAGATGAATACCAAGATACACTGTGACATATATCCAGATACACTGAGACATATGCCCAGATACATGGAGACGAATGCCCAGATACATGGAGACAAATACCCAGATACATAGAGACAAACACCCAGATACATAGAGACAAATACCCAGATACATGGAGACAAACACCCAGATAGATGGAGACAAACACCCAGATACATAGAAACAAACACCCAGATACATGGAGACAAATACACAGATACATGGAGACAAACACCCAGATACATGGAGACAAACACCCAGATACATGGAGACAAACACCCAGATACATGGAGACAAATACACAGATACATTGAGACATTTACCCAGATAGATGGAGACAAACACCCAGATACATGGAGACAAATACCCAGATACATGGAGACAAACACCAAGATACATGAAGAAAAAATACACAGATACATGGAGACAAACACCCAGATACATGGAAACAAATACCCAGATACATGGAGACAAACACCCAGATACATGGAGACAAACACCCAGATACATGGAGACAAACACCCAGATACATGGAAACAAATACCCAAATACATGGAGACAAACACCCACATACATGGAGACAAACACCCAGATACATGGAGACAAACACCCAGATACATGGAGACAAACACGCAGATACATGGAGACAAACACCCAGATACATGGAGACAAACACCCAGATACATGGAGACAAACACCCAAATACATGGAGACAAACACCCAGATACATGGAGACAAACACCCAGATACATGGAGACAAACACCCAAATACATGGAGACAAACACCCAGATACATGGAGACAAACACCCAGATACATGGAGACAAACACTCAGATACATAGAGACAAACACCCAAATACATGGAGATAAACACCCAGATACATGGAGACAAACACCCAGATACATGGAGACATTTACCCAGATAGATGGAGACAAACACCCAGATACATGGAGACAAATACCCAGATACATGGAGACAAATAGCCAGACACATTGAGACATTTACCCAGATAGATGGAGACAAACACCCAGATACATGGAGACAAATACCCAGATACATGGAGACAAATAGCCAGACACATTGAGACATTTACCCAGATACATGGAGACATTTAGCCAGATACATGGAGACAAACACCCAGATACATGGAGACAAACACCCAGATACATGGAGACAAACACCCAGATACATGGAGACAAACACCCAGATACATGGAGACAAATACCCAAATACATGGAGACAAACACCCAGATACATGGAGACAAACACCCAGATACATGGAGACAAACACCCAGATACATGGAGACAAACACCCAGATACATGGAGACAAAAAAAACAGATACATGGAGACAAACACCCAGATACATGGAGACAAACACCCAGATATATAGAGACAAATACCCAGATACATGGAGACAAATACCCACATACATGGAGACAAATACACAGATACATGGAGACAAACACCCACATACATGGAGACAAATACCCAGATAAATGGAGACAAACATCCAGATACATTGAGACAAACACCCAGATACATGGAGACAAACACCCAGATACATGGAGACAAACACCCAGATACATGGAGACAAACACCCAGATACATGGAGACAAACACCCAAAGACATGGAGACAAACACCCAGATACATGGAGACACACACCCAGATACATGGAGACAAACACCCAGATACATAGAGACAAACACCCAGATACATGGAGACAAATACCCAAATACATGGAGACAAATACCCAGATACATGGAGACAAACACCCAGATACATGGAGACAAATACCCAAATACATGGAGACAAACACCCAGATACATGGAGACAAACACCCAGATACATGGAGACAAACACCAAAATACATGGAGACAAACACCCAGATACATGGAGACAAACACCCAAATACATGGAGACAAACACCCAGATACATGGAGACAAACACCCAGACACATGGAGACAAACACCCAGATACATGGTGACAAACACCCAGATACATGGAGACAAACACCCAGATACATGGAGACATTTACCCAGATAGATGGAGACAAACACCCAGATACATGGAGACAAGTAGCCAGACACATTGAGACATTTACCCAGATAGATGGAGACAAACACCCAGATACATGGAGATAAACACCCAGATACATGGAGACAAACACCCAAATACATGGAGACAAACACCCAGATACATGGAGACAAACACCCAGATACATGGAGACAAACACCCAGATACATGGAGACATTTACCCTGATACATGGAGACAAACACCCAGATACATAGAGACAAACACCCAGATATATGGAGACAAATACCCAGATACATGGAGACAAACACCCAGATACATGGAGACAAACACCCAGATACATGGAGACAAACACCCAGATACATGGAGACAAACACCCAGATACATGGAGACAAACACCCAAATACATGGAGACAAACACCCAGATACATGGAGACAAACACCCAGATACATGGAGACAAACACCCAGATACATGGAGACAAACACCCAGATACATGGAGACAAACACACAGATACATGGAGACAAGTAGCTAGATACATGGAGACAAACACCCAGATACATGGAGACAAACACCCAGATACATGGAGACAAATACCCAGATACATGGTGACAAACACCCAGATACATGGAGACAAACACCCAGATACATGGAGACATTTACCCAGATAGATGGAGACAAACACCCAGATACATGGAGACAAGTAGCCAGACACATTGAGACATTTACCCAGATAGATGGAGACAAACACCCAGATACATGGAGATAAACACCCAGATACATGGAGACAAACACCCAAATACATGGAGACAAACACCCAGATACATGGAGACAAACACCCAGATACATGGAGACAAACACCCAGATACATGGAGACATTTACCCTGATACATGGAGACAAACACCCAGATACATAGAGACAAACACCCAGATATATGGAGACAAATACCCAGATACATGGAGACAAACACCCAGATACATGGAGACAAACACCCAGATACATGGAGACAAACACCCAGATACATGGAGACAAACACCCAGATACATGGAGACAAACACCCAAATACATGGAGACAAACACCCAGATACATGGAGACAAACACCCAGATACATGGAGACAAACACCCAGATACATGGAGACAAACACCCAGATACATGGAGACAAACACACAGATACATGGAGACAAGTAGCTAGATACATGGAGACAAACACCCAGATACATGGAGACAAACACCCAGATACATGGAGACAAATACCCAAATACATGGAGACAAACACCCAGATACATGGAGACAAACACCCAGATACATGGAGACAAATACCCAGATACATGGAGACAAACACCCAGATACATGGAGACAAACACCCAGATACATGGAGACAAATAGCCAATTACATGGAGACAAACACCCATATACATAGAGACAAACACCCAGATACATGGAGACAAACACCCAGATACATGGAGACAAATAGCCAGATACATGGAGACAAACACCCAGATACATGGAGACAAATAGCCAATTACATGGAGACAAACACCCATATACATAGAGACAAACACCCAGATACATGGAGACAAACACCCAGATACATGGAGACAAATAGCCAGATACATAGAGACAAATACCCAGATACATGGAGACAAACACCCAGATACATGGAGACAAACACCCAGATACATGGAGACAAATACCCAGATACATGGAGACAAATAGCCAGATACATGGAGACAAACACCCAGATGCATGGAGACAAACACCCAGATACATGGAGACAAATAGCCAGATACATGGAGACAAATAGCCAGACAAACACCCAGATACATGGAGACAAACACACAGATACATGGAGACAAATACCCAGATACATGGAGACAAATACCCAGATACATGGAGACAAACACCCAGATACATGGAGACAAACACCCAGATACATGGAGACAAACACCCAGATACATGGAGACAAACACCCAGATACATGGAGACAAACACCCAGATACATGGAGACAAACACCCAGATACATGGAGACAAATAGCCAGATACATGGAGACAAATACCTAGATACATGGAGACAAATAGCCAGATACATGGAGACAAATAACCAGATACATGGAGACAAATAGCCAGATACATGGAAACAAATACCTAGATACATGGAGACAAATACCCAGATACATGGAGACAAATACCCAGATACATGGAGACAAACACCCAGATACATGGAGACAAATAGCCAGATACATGGAGACAAATACCTAGATACATGGAGACATTTACCCAGATAGATGGAGACAAACACCCAGATACATGGAGACAAACACCCAGATACATGGAGACAAATAGCCAGATACATGGAGACAAATACCTAGATAAATGGCGACATTTACCCAGATACAAGGAGACAAACACCCAGATACATGGAGACAAACACACAGATACATGGAGACAAACACACAGATACATGGAGACAAATACCCAGATACATGGAGACAAATAGCCAGATACATGGAGACA